GGTCGGTAGTATATGTGTGATACATGGCAGTGACGTGTTAAGGGAACCGATCATCCGACGAATCGAATCGGAATCGGACATCCTTAAACGCGGCTAGGGGAGCACATATATGTGTATCGTCGTCGACGCGTGAAACAATCGTACTTTCAAACGGCTAAAAGTAGATGAAATTCCGCAACAATGCGTTGAACCGAGCGGAAGATTGACATTGAATCGAAGAATCTCGCGTACACCCGTGCTCACCGTATACGAGGCCAACCGTTCGTCGTCTTCAGGACGAGCCTGAACGGACCACGCACCGATCGGATCGAACTGTAGGCTCTGCGTGAGTATTGTGAGTAGCCGGTTCGTAGAGGAACGATGATAATTTTCGATATACAACAGGATAAACGACGATAGCGGCGCGCGCTTAGTCGACGTTAGCGTGATGTTTTCGCGACAGGGCGTGCGAGTGTTCTATATTAAACTCGACGAACGCGGGTAGGCCGATTGCGAAACGGACGCCTGATATTTTCGTTACATCGCACGAGTAACTGCTTCCGGCCGAGCGTTCCCCCTCCCCCTCCTTCCACTCGTCCCAGCGCTCTCTCCCTTTCTTCGTCCCTGTCCTACCCAGTTTGGCTTTCTTTATCACCCGTTCTTCCTCTCGCATCCTGCTTTTCCACTCGCGCTCGCCCGCCGGCGGACTCTATTTTTCTCGCTTTGCTCGCCTGGCTCCCTTATTCGCTCGCTCCTCTCGTTTCTGCTCCCCCCAGCCCCTTCCACTGTCGTCGTTCTGCTGTTTCTCTCTCCTTTTATCTACCGCTGTCGCACTCTGTCTTTTTCCCGCATGGCCAGACCGCTTCTCCTTCGCCCTGGCCCCATCATCCTTCTCTCTCGCCCGTTCTTGCGCGCGGAGAGACCAGGCAGATGCCCGTGCTTCAGCCGGCCGGAAACACCTACGCATCATGGTAGCGTGCGAGGTAGCGATGCCCAGCGATGGGTCGGAGTCGTTCGCGACAAACGTTTCCACTCGGTTGTGTGGTTTCAACGGAATTAAGGCAATGGAAGATCAAGGGATCGAAGGAGTTACGGTGGACTTTTGATATATTGCCGGGGTTGTAGGGGAGTAGAGTTGCCAGGGGTAGCTACTATAAACCATGAACTTGGTGAAATTTTATAGAGATCCAGGGAACTTGTCCTGCACACCGTGTGGTGCTTATTGATACTAATCCTTGGCAAAGTCTTTATGTAAATAAATATATACATAACTTAATACACATATATGCATCATAATATAAATATATCAATTTGTATACATGTATATGATTATGTTATTATGTATTTGTACCAGATTAATACCAATAAATGCTACACGGTGTGCAGGGCGCACATGGTCTGTCTACGCGGGACAAAACCCCTATATCTTGACATAATTTCGATAATAACTACCTCTGGCAAATCTGCTCCCCTACAGCCTTGGCCGTGGCAGCCAGGCAACGTGGTGATAGAGCGAATTTGTATGCGTGAAAGTACGTGTACAGGGGAAGCACCTCGCGCGGCAATATAGCAAGCTCCAATCTATCAAGAGTCAACTGTACTGATACGCGGACAAGCGGTTTCCATCGTAGAAATGCGATCAGATGATCGCCGAGTATATATCATTTCCTTGAATTTAATAATGGACAACAACATTCTCTGCGACGATTATTGAGTAACGAGGTGGCAATGTAGTGTGACAGTTGTAGACCTCTCGCGAATGTTGGTTCGTTGAATTTTTGGTGAAAAGTGTGAACAAGTCGTGATTAGTCGATCACGTGTTTCTGGTATCTGAATCAATTGGTATTTTTTAAATTTGAGGAAGTTTCAAGTGTGACCCAAGGATCTTTGCTCGTGGATTTCACTCTGTGAAATTCCACTTTCTGTATCGATTCCTTTCGACTCCCGTGTTTAATTCTTTTAGCCGTAACAAGCTCAAGATCGCTAGCGACAGGTACGATCCTCTCGTGAATACTGTTTCCGTTGCTGTAGTAAGAGCGCGAATAAAATAAGTTATTAGAAAATTTGAGTGACCTTGAAGCGCTTCTAACATCACTACCGACTTTTCTAGGGTTAACACGTGGACTGCCCAAGTTCTTGCTATTGGACTTGCTACAGAAATACGAAATTTATACATATTTTGTTTAAGTTTTCGCTATTCAGAATATTTATTCATTGATATGTATACTCGTTACTTGAATCATTACTTGTCTATTGAATTACATTTACAAGACTCTGAATGTCAGTGTTTAAAAATTGAATGCTCTTCCATATAATTTAATAGGGTCCTTCAACAATGACTAACTTCGATGTTATCAAGCTCCATATTTCATTCCCTCGGTTATAACTAGGTAGTACCTAACGACATCAGTAATTCGTATTAGCTATGTCCGAGGACTTCATCCCAATTCCCATTTTGCTTGAGTTAATAAGATCTAATGTCTGTTATTAAGCTTAGCGGGAATGAAACTAAAGTTTACCGATTCAACAAGGTCTACGATCCCCTATTATTAGTAAAAAAACAAGAGCGACAGGACCTACATAGTATCTTCTGAAAACAAACTGAACAATAATTCCACAAGGGCTGATAGTTTGATACGATACGCAAATAACATAGTAACCAACAAAGATAGAGTCAACGTCCAGTGAAGTGTGTTACGTTTGACGGTCCGAACAAGTGGATGAAGTACATAACTCGTTTCTGTTGTTAATTAAATATCTAGCGATGGGTTTAACGGGGACAGAGAACGAACACGAGAATAAGTTATGTACCAGGCCAGAAGCGAATCAAGTGTAACGGGTTGCGTACAGATCCGGCGTTTCCCATGCCGGATTAATTGAAAGTTATCGAACCGAGAGAACCTCAATACTATCACCAGCCTTGTCCAAGCCTTGTCTCTTGTCGCGTCACGGAGCTGGACAGTTTTTGCGCGGGGCCTGTTTTATAGAGATACAGGTACCGTGACAACGTCGGGCGATCAACGATTGATTCGCTTCGCTTCCCTTTTCCTTTCTGCTTTTTATTTCGATAGTCGAGCCAGAAATTATTGTTCACCACGTATCCCCTTGCCGCGTTTGGAGATCAACCGTGTAACATTTCTACAGACCAATCGAACAACGCACGCGTTACACGTTAACTCCTTGCGCTCCAGGTGCCAATTTGGTTCATTTTAACCCTCAATATGCGAGCAATACCAAATTTAAATAAAAAATTTTATAATGGGTTTTCAATTATTAATCAATGGTTTTAAAATTTGCATGCGAAACAAATTACCAACTTCGAATTTTTCGCGGGAAACGAAATCGAGTGCTGGCGCCATCTGTTCTGGCTACTGTATTCACTCGGACGTTATCTTTATCCGCGAACACCGGATCGATAATAAATAACCGCGAAAAGATACAAAGTCCTTTTTATTTTTGCTAACGATATCGTACGCATAAACATAAAGACAAACCCTAACACCGATTAACGAAACCTTCGTGTGCCACTTAATTCAGTTACTCCCATAATCAGCGAGACAAGTTTCCCTTTAATTCTGTCTTTCGTAACGTAGGCCATAAAACAGAGTCTAACGTTGAGAAATCATATCAGATTACACAAAATGTTAAATAGCCAATGAGAGTACAATTGGAAGTTACGTGTTAATAATTAAAATGACACGTTTTTGTCTGTGACGAAATTCGGTGCATTTCCCGTCAGAAACGCGAGTTTTAGTTATAACCGGTCGAGTGGACTGTTGGATCGTGAATCGTATTTAAAACAGAATCGTTCTAACAATCGCGTGAGATTTGGTTTATAAAGGGTGGGTGTTTGCTGTAACTGACTCAGGCGAATGGGACGTTATTGCTTATCGAAGTACAGTCGCGGTCGCGAAGAATGGAACGCGGGGGATTCGAGGAATGCAAGGTGCGTGTAACAGGCGTGACCTTCCCAAGGTCAGTTGGAGTGTAAAGGAACAATGAACACGGGACTCGATCTGTGTTAGTCCACGACGATACAGTACAACTGCTAACAGCAATTATGGGCCTCAACGGAAGCATGCAGTGTTAGTTACTGCAACCATTCAGCTACGCATACGCGCAGTGAGTAATAAAACTATTCTAATAGCAAGTTTCCAGTCTATATTGTGAAATTAAGTTTTTTGTAAATTCTGTACATATTATTAATTCATTCCTTTTCTCTTAAATTTGTATGCATTTAATACACATCTACTAATACACCATTTTTGAATATCTCATCGTTCAAATATTATAAGTAACAATGAGGAACATGTATTCTACTACATAGTTACTCAATTGAATACGTGCTACTGCGATATCTTTACTTGTTCTAAGGCTCGTAGCCTCTATTATTGAAGAAAGATTGTATCCGTCTCTAATATGGTAAATAAGAAGTTGTTTGAAATGTATTTAACATTAATAACTAACTCCACTACGGAGACCGTGATATTTATTAAATTCATTAAAATGATTAATAATATATTACGATGAGAATGTATTGAACAACTTACGCCTGTATGTTTTGGTTAACGCTCGAACTCTTCTACGAACCTTCGTTTGGAAACTTGGATTAATTGAATTCCCAACATTACAACTCCACACATTATACAAAAAAGACGCATTAACGCCGATGTTACTATTTTGAAACTGTACTACCGACACACCCTAGTGGCGATCCCTGAAACTTATTACAACATAGCCAAAGAGTGGCCTGAAATTTTGAACGGTCTTCTACTGATGATAACAGAATCTTTCCCGCCAATTTTGTTCCATATTTATGTGTTACTGTTAATACCAAATGTTATACTTTGAAAATGTGCACTTCGGAAACGTCATCTGTAAAGCATTGGACAAACCTGCCACAAGAGATGGAATGCCGAGAATCGTAAAGGTATACACTAACGTTTATATAACGATTATTTTTGTTAACACCAAGGTTTGTTAAATGGACACTGTACTTGATTACTACTGATTTGGTTACAATGGATATTTTAGGTAAAATAACGATAAGCGAACCTTTCCTAATAATGGAATTAAACAGATTTGTGCCTTTCCTGGAGGATAATTATGTAAAATTTCACCCTTTGAATATGCCATATATTAGAATAGGCAAAATTGATATATTGGGATTTGTAGTTGGAGTTTCACAAGATGCTAGATTTTATGAGTACCAGAGTAACTATAATTAATTTCAATAATGAAATATGTTTTTCATTCTAAATCTTTAAGTACTGGTGAAGAAACATTTATTATAATAGAATATTTTTAGTTGATGATGGGACAGGAACTATTACTATTTTTCATGAAAAGAAGCATTTTGAAATACAGAATCTGGAAAGAAAAAAGATAGATGACAAGTATTATAAGTATGCAAAGAACATAAATTCAGGAGTTTTAAGGAAAGAAGAGTGTCCAAAAAATTTCCCCAATCCTCGTCCAAAATTTAATTATCCTATTGGTACTAGTGTTTGTGATATGGCTGTAAATATGAAATCTTGTTTACATATATTGTAGTGTCTGTGGAAAGATATTAAATCATTTATTTTACAGATCTTTGAACATAAATGGTCATTGGAAACTAAAAATGGATTGTTGGGTAAGAAGGTAAAACGCTGTGATTATGTGCATGCAATAGGGTACTGTTCACTTGATTTTATGTTGGGTAAAAGACCACGTGAAGAAATTACTTTTGAAGACTTATCTACTGCCAAGTTAAATTTTCTTTCGACTAAAGTAATTCGCATAGACGAGCGAGAATACAATGCAAAGATGTACTCGTGGTTGCATACTATTGTTAGGAAAAGATACGACGAGCATCCAGATGAACCAGAACTTTGCCCAAAAATGGAGACATAAAGATATAAAATCTTAAAAATACTTGTGTATGTCTTAAAAACAAATGGTGCCTTGGATATGTGATACTGTTTTTTAATGGTTTCATCTGAATACCAATGAGATACAAATTATATTATTGAAAAACCTTTATTTAAGATTAAACAACAAAACATTGAGTGCATACTTTATTTGTATGTTTACCATCACATGACAAATATCAAGAATTGTCCACTATTAGTTGCATAAAAACTTGTTCTAGTGGATTCTATAACAATTTTCAAAATTGTTTTGTATTGCCTGAAATTATGCGAAACTTTGATTTTTAGAGAACGCTCGATTATTACTGTGGAGTTTGATATTTTGCACACATGTAGCCTTTAAGTAACGGAATTATCTGTTTCATTTATACTGGTGGTAACTGCTTTACTATCCGTTACTGTTTCATTAGATAATTCAGCATTAATACCTGATGCCACTTTATTTGAAAGCATTATTAGTTTATGATACTGACAGCCAGTCAAGGGTAAATATGGTGCTATTTCACTTGGCTCTGTGAAGAAGGATGCTATATCCTAGAGCAATAAAAAAAAAGTTATTAGTCAAGGAAAATGACTATGCTACCATATCACTTACACGCAATTCTGCGACCTTAGCTTCTCTTGTTGTGTACTCTCGTAGCAAATAGTCTTGTCCAAATTCATGATAAATGCGAGTGTCGTTTATTCTTATTAGTACATTATCAATTCTTAAGAAGTATCTTAATAAAATGAAAAAACCATTGGGCATAACACGCTGTTTGTATTAAAACATTAAATTAGGATAAATCTGATTGTATGCACATTGAAATTATCACATATGGTATATACTAATACTACGCATAACGTGGTTTTTATCAGAAAACTTTAATGTTATTAAAACTGTTCAACAGAAAAATGTGTCATATTCAATAATGTTTTAATTAGTGTGAGACTCGCTTGGAATCATTTAATCGCGTTATACAAGGCATTACAGTATATGAGTGCTACTAACTTACAATTTTCACAGAACAAACTGCTATACCATTATCATGAAGTTCATCTTCGAATAATGTTAAGTCATTATAAAACAGAATTTTATCTTTTCTCTTCAATTTATCCATATCAATACGTTCGCTAGTTTCTTCAATTTTAAAATCAGATATTGTGCCAGTATAACTGGTAGTAAATGTCCAATCAAATGGTTTTATTTTTTCTTCTAAAAACTCACTACTTTCAGATCTGTTTTAAAATAATATTTATGAAAAGTTATATTAACAAAGGAATTCAATAATTTAAATATTCATACCTAGATTCTTTCCAAGCTTCTGCACATGCAAGTTGTATATGAATTTTTCCATTAGACACCGTTTTCAAAGCATCTAAAGCATTGAATTGTAAGGTTGCTCCATCCTCGTGATGTAAAGTTAATATATTGTTTGGAAATACCATATCTGGCATATGTGGCAGTTCTAAAGTGTGGCTGAAACTATAAACTAGACTATAGAATTTTATTGTCACAGTAATACATCAATTGATCAAATGAATTTATGAGTCTTACATGCAAAATTGACAGGGTTCATCCTTTTCATTGCAACCATTTTCACTTTTGGAACATTTAGAATGTAATATATGAGACTTTGTATATTTAATATGCCATGGTGGAAAGATACGTTCTTCTTGATTAACAGGAAGTCGTAGGATGTCAATTCTTCCATGAACTTTCACTGCTGTCATGATCTAATAAAGTAAGAAGCAAGGAAATTAATTTCGATTGGATCAATAATTCTTACTTTTTTTTAAATAAGATAGCATTATCTCTCATTCAATATTGTAAACACTGATGTAAGTGAAATGAAATACTTTTGTATACACATATGATAAGATCCATTATACTTTACTGGCATATTCATTACATTGTGTTATTCTTTGTGTGCATTTTTTGTTCATATTATTTATTCGTATCTAAACTTATTAAGTAACTATCAATAACATTCTATAACCTGTCAAGTGTTGTCTATAAAGAGCACTTACAACAAATATCTGTTTATTTTAGTCATTAAATTAATTTTCCACGATTATTCTAAATTTTATCCTAATCATCCAAGGGCTACTTCTATATAGTTGCGTTTGAATTTTCAATTTGTTTGGCTTTATTACTTTCTCTCGAACGTAACAATCACCGTTTCACCACAAATCTACATTATCGACAGTGTCAAACAGTGTAGTGTCACCGACTAGGTATAGAATAGACCTATCATCCAATGCTTTTTTCTGTCCCACGTTCATAG